GCACAGAAACACCCACAGTGTTAAAGCTGTGATCTTTGAAACAATGGTACCATACGGACATCAACACAGAGATATATCCGGTCTAATACGAAAGTAATTATGTGTCAAAATGCACCAGCTTGTGGAATTCAGTTTGTGAAATTGCAATTTGATGTGAGCACTTGCATGACAAAAATCTGAACTTGTGTTTTCACTTGTAAATAAAATTCGAATTCACACGTGCAGTTTGCAGATGCTGCTAAGGGGGATGTAACAGTAATGCTGAACGGATCCATCACCAAGCCATTCGATGACAAAAGGTGGGTTGTGCTCCTGTGAAAGCTCAAATATATTTGGACTTATCAGGCCCAAGAAATTTCTACCAGACGGTGTTTCGTTCCTGCATGGAGAGGCTGACAGGAGCAGGACTCCTTCTGTCTGGGTACTGCATTAGAGAGGGAAAAACTCATGTTTCAGTGACAGCTTCGATTTAATAATTATTTGCATTTGGATCTCAGTGTGTTTTTTCTCACAGCGTCTGTCTTGTTCATTTCTGTTTCTGTTGAGACTTTTTTTGTAGTGAATGATAGTAGAATTAATGTTAAAATGATATTCCCGAGAGTTGCATATGGCTACAATTTGCCTTTTTATATGTTTTACACTCCTAGGACTTGTACTGCATCTGGATTTTTCTATCACTGAGCTACTATAAATGTCCCTTTGTCCCTTTAAAATGACAAAGAAAAGTTCCTCTGAATCCTCTCTTTCGTGAGAATTGTTTTTCTTTAGCAAGAGACATCATTTTAAAATATCTCCATGGGTGGGTTTCTTTTACTCCTAACAGCTACACAAAAGTGTAGCCTTTATTTAGCGCTTATGGTGACTATATTTGCTCTAAACTCTGCTCTTCTCAGTATTTTTGCTAGCGTCGAGGTCGAGAGATTAAAGTCCCCCAGAATTAAAAATCTCAAAGTTGTTCTGGTCGCGGACAAGAAAGCTGGGTAAGACTTTCCCCTAAAACACACCACATTTCCAGAGCTACCTGCTTTAAATGTGACTAAACATGAATGTCTAGTATAATTATCTACAGATATCAATACACAAACCTGAGCTGAGAAATTTCACCCCCAATTGAACCCTCTGTCCTCTTTTTGCAGGACAAAATGCAAAAATGGATCCTTAAAAGCCTTACAGGAGAAGCTTGAAAAAAAAAAAATCAAATATGACTGCAAGGACGTGCCTCAGTGAGTCCGGTTTGTGTAAATGGATCTGGTACCCTGGGTGTTTCTATGATCTCACATCAGATGGGCTTTTTGTCACAGATCTCAGGTCAAGAAGTGCAACTCCGACGGGAAAAAAACATGTGGATCCTGCTGGTGAAATAACTCCCTGTGGACTGACCAGCCTCGTCTTTCTACTGCCAAGTGTTGTAATCAGATTTGAAATAGATTTATTTTTATATCACAGTGTCACTTCATATTAATTTTGCAGATGCATTCTTTTACGATACGAATTTGTCAGATATGAGTTTCTTTGTAAAAAAAAGAATAAACGTTTTATTACACGTTTAGCCGTTTCCTCCTTTCCTCTGTTTCCTTGAGCTCATTCTGCACAGACAACACATGAGAGATATTTTATCAGTTTGTTCTTCCTACTATTGCTTTCCTGTCTTTCTTTGTTATTATTCTTTATTCTGTACGTTTTTCTGCGTCTAACTACTAGGTATCAAAATGTTCAGCTATGACTTTTGGTGTTCAAATCTTTTCAACTTTTTAAGTTATTTAACT